GACACCTCGATCTTGGACTTCCCAGCCTCCAGAACTATGAAAAATAAACCTGCTGTTTAAGCCACCCAGTCTATGTTATTTTGTTATAGCAGCCAGAACTGACTAAGACAAAAGCCTTGGTCATCTGCTGGGGGAAGAGTGGTCATGGTTGGGAAGGGGACGGGGCCAGAGTAGTGAGGGTTTAGGATGGCAGCTGAGAGAAACAGGGGAGGAGGAAAGGATGCTGACCAGGCGCCTATGAGAAGACCGCTGTGCTAAGAACCCGGCTGAGGTCAGAGGACACAGGTTGTTTAGAGCCCAAACAACAAGAGTGTCAATTCCGTTAGCCCCCTTCAGCAGTCCTCACATAGCAAGAGAGAAGGAAAATGGTTGGGTTGATCCACAGAGAAGAGTTGGCAAAAGTAGGCCCAGCAAAAGGAGTGGGGCAAAGAAGTTAAGGTTGCTGGCAAGAGAATAGCAAAAGACACACATGCAAATACATATACATACATATATGTAATTATGTATGATTATTAACATATGTGTATATATAATTAGGTGTGTGTGTGTGTATATGCTAGATAGATATAGAAAGATTGATCACAGAGGTATTATAGAGCACGTCTGAGTTGCTAAAGTGGAGTGGGGTTACAGTTTTCTTGATAAGGCTGTTAGCAAAAATGGTTCAGGAAGATTAACCATTTTTTCCCTGAAAGGAAACAAAAGCAAGTGTACCACCTAGAAGGCTGATATAATTGTCCAGATCAGAATTCACATATACACAGAATGAAAGCTCCAGTGCCCCTCCTGTGCCCCTGGCCATCCCACCCATGGACAACCACAGGCTTCTGCTGAACTCAAAATCCTTCTCAACACAGGGCTCTGGAAGCCACGACCCATTAGCTAGAATTGGCCCAGGAGATGGAAATTGCTTTCAGTTCTGATCCAGATGAAAGGTAATAAGCCCGGGCTCTGTTTTAGCAGCAGGGATGAAGTAAAAGCAACATGCAGCCCACCGTGGGGCAGGAGAAAGATCTTCCAGCCGGCCTCAGCGCACTGGTTCTCAGAACCCTGAGAGAACCAAGGGCTGCACCAGGAATGACCCCTGAACTCAGAGCTGCTCTGGGGCATACCCATAAGGCCAGTTTCTGCCGAAGCCCCGCAGCGCACCTGGACTGTTTCTCAGAACCCCCATGTGGAACCCAGGATGGTTAGCCTTAGCTGGCTTCTAGAAGTGGAGCCTCCTGAGTCAAACCACAGATCTCCTGACTCAGTGATCTTCCTGGTGGGGATAGATGAGTGTTTCTGGCCCTGGCTTGGTAGGAGCTTGTGGGAGGATGCAGTTAATTCCCTTTAGTCACTTTGGGTCATAGTGTCCTAATAGCCAGACCCAGCCTGAGGCTAAAAGGAAACAGAAGCAGCCCTGGGCCTATCTCTGAGAAACACCTTTCACTTTATCTAATTCCCTTTTCTTTTAGGTGAGCAGTTTCAGCCAGCAGGAAGCCTTGTTTCCTTCCTGTCTGCTGGAACTCCTAGGTTTTTGGCCTTTGTTTTCATCAGCCATTGCAAAACTGATCTCTGATTGCACAATATAGGCAATGAGATGACAACTGACAGAAACTGATGAATATTCCATTAACCTCAATGGTGCTAATAGATCAGATATTCACATAAAGAGTTAGCAGTATTAATCCCTGACTTGTCACCACAACTTCCTTCAGACTATTATTAAGATTAAAAAGAATAAGTCAACTATATGTCATCCTGGTCTCCAGTTGTTTAGGAATTTTCGTTGTTGTTGTTGTTACATAGAGAAATGGGTTTAATGTAAAGTCCTTGGGGACTGGTTTTTGCTGTTTGTCTCTTTGTTCCTGTTTGTTTCACCTTAGGCACTTATCAGAAGAACTAAGAACTGGAGATAAAAGAAAACCTCTGTGAGTTCAATGATCCAAAAGGAACTAGGATTTAACTGAAACATTAGAGCTCTATAAAAACCAAAGGCTGATTGAAAAAGTTAACAAAGGAAAGCACAACACTGAGATTTGTGTGTGTGTGTGTGTGTGTGTGTGTTTCATGTGACACCAGGGCAGAAGGAGAGAGGGTGAAAGAGCAAAATAGCCTTGCGCGGGCGGGTGGAGGTGTGACTTGAAATACCTGTGAGACTCACATCTGGCAGGTTTGAAGCCTACGAGTAACACATGGGCCAAGTTACCCAACACACTGGCATTTCCTCAAGTCTGAGCTGTATTAGCATCCAGCCACCCACACTTTTTTCTGTGTCCTGACCTAATTAGTAAAAGATTAAGTTCTCCTGAGTCAGCAGCAGAGTCTCTTGAGGTGCAGTGTTTTTGAGCAAGGACCCAAAAGATAACACTGTCCACGTAATTTCAGATAGCAGTGGGAATTTGGTAATTGATTTAAAAACATTCAAGATATTAAGCACAAATTCCCAAAGCTGTAGGTCACATTGCAAACAGGGTTTTAATGGCCACGTGACCTTTCTTCCTCCCAGTTCAGCAGAGGGATCTTTCTTCAGCTAATGGGCATTAACTGAGTACCTACCAGTGAATAAGTTTACAGATTGGTTAGGGAGGCGACATTGGCAATGGGTGCCTCTGTGAATCAATCTACAATCACTGAAGAGCATGCAAGATGTGCTAGAAGAAAATCTGTGAGGTCCGGAGTAAGAAGAGAAGTTGTTATTCTGTGGACATGAACTATGAACTGATTCTAAAAGCAAAGCAGGCCAGGCGACGTGGCTCACGTCTATAATCCTAGCACTCTGGGAGGCCAAGGCGGGAGGATTGCTCGAGGTCAGGAGTTGAAAACCAGCCTGAGCAAGAGCGAGACCCCATCTCTACTATAAATAGAAAGAAATTAATTGGCCAACTAATATATATATATATAAAATTATCCGGGCATGGTGGCGCATGCCTGTAGTCCCAGCTACTCGGGAGGCTGAGGCAGGAGGATCGCTTGAGCCCAGGAGTTTGAGGTTGCTGTGAGCTAGGCTGACGCCATGGCACTCACTCTAGCCTGGGAAACAAAGTGAGACTCTGTCTCAAAAATAAATAAATAAATAATAAAAGCAAAGCAACAGATTGTTTTAGTTTTTAAAACAGCGTTGAATTTTTAAATTACAAAGGTAAAAAATGTTTATTATATAAAATTTAGAAAATACAGGTTAGGGAAAAAAAGTTTAAACTCCCTAACTATCCCACCACTGAGAAGTAATCGCAGAGGCATCACAGGCACCTGGGACGCCAACTTTTTCCGCCCACTTTCCCTCCCTTTCTACCACTCTGGTCTTATTTAGTTCACAGCTTTACAGTGAAATCACTAGATTTCATTTCACAAAATGTTCCTACTGCTAAAGCAAGTGTAAAATCACTGTTAAACACCCCGCCAGGTAAATCTCCCTGAATCCTGCTTTCCTTGTATCTCTCTCCTTCTGACCAGCGTTCAGGGGCAATCTCCTCAGCTTGGCCATTCAAGGCTGTCTTAGTTCAGGTTGCTATAACAAAACACCATAAATTGGGTGGCTTTTAAAAAAAACAGAAATGCATTTTTCACAGTTCTAGAGGCTGGAAAGTCCAAGATCAAGGTGTCTGGTGAAGGCCCATCTTCTCATTGTATCCTCAGATGGCAAAAGGGGCAGAAGAACTTCTTTGGGCCTCTTTTATGAGAGCACTAATGACAATCACAAGGTCTCCACCCTCCTGACCTAATCACCTACCTAAAGGCCCCACGTCTTAATACTACCACCTGGGAAGTTAGGATTTCAACACATGAATTTTGAGGGGACACAAACACTCGGACTATATCAACAGCCTTCTGCTTCTGGCTACAGTCCATCTTTACAGCTTGGTTTCCTGTCACCCTCCACCCCACCAAGACCATGTCTCTGGAATACCATGTGCATGTTTTTACTGCCAACCTTTTGCTCTCAAGTCTTTCTACTGCATCATGTGTCCAACTCTTCTCTTTAAATATCTCCGTTCAAACTCTATAGCCTGAGTTTGTCTGGCTCCAGTGACCCATGAATCACAGCAATAGCAGCTTTCTACATTGTACCTGTCCTATCTGAGTGAGGCAGGACCTCTAGGGCCCTCAAAGTTACAGCCAGAAATGTCACCCCAGGGGATGTGTGATACATCCTCACAACACATTGCAAACCTGTGTCTCCTGCCACGTTCTTCCTTTCCTGCTCCAGCCACTCTCATCCCTCATGGTTATGCTTCCAGCTGAGGCAGCCACTCCTGCCCAAGTTCTCCATGAAAACCATAATGTCCTTTCTCCTGCAGACCCTGAGGCTGCAACCCTTAAGGGCACTGTGGCCCCCGAAGTACTGAAGGCACAACCGCTAGGCACTCTAGGGAATACTACTCACAGCCCTATAACTCAGATCTATCCTGAGAGCAGCTCTTCTGGCATCTGTCATCTCCCCTAGGCTCAGAAAGGAGTCCCTCAACTGGGCAGGAGCTTACCAGGCCCATACTGTCCTTCCCGTTCTCCTGCTCCTGATACTCTATGGAGTGCCCTGGACAACTGACTGATGCAAATGGAAATGTGGTAGCTATTTGCCTGGCTGGCTCATCAGATGTCTGGGAAATATTTTAATGCTGCTGGTGGAAACAATTAAGGTTCAAACAAGGAAGTCCACTACATACCCTTTAAGACCCTGAGAATCAGTGCCAGCCTTCAGAAAATCTTCACTGTCTCAGGCTAAATAAAATCATATGCCTCTGTAGCAGTCATGGTTGTATGGTTGACCCTTGAAACAATACAGGGGTTGGGGTGCCTATCCCCTAAGCAGTTGAAAATCTGAGTATAACTTTTGACTCCCCCAAAACTTAACTACTAATAGCCTACTGTTGACCAGAAACCTTACCAATAATATAAACAGTTGATGAAAACATATTTTGTATATTACAGATATTATAGGCTGTATTCTTACAATAGAGAAAGTTAGAGAAAGAAAATGTTATACAAAAATCATAAAAAAGATAAAATGTGCTCACCATTCATTAAGTGGAGGTGGATCCTTATAAAAGTCTTCATCCTTGTCATCTTCACACTTAGTGGGCTGAGGAGAAGGAGGAACAGGAGGGGTTGGTCATGTTGTCTCAGGTGCGCCAGAGGCAAAAAAAAAATCCACATAGAAGTGGACCCATGAAGTTCAAATCTGTGCTGTTCGAGGGTCAACTGTACACCTAATTTAGTAATTACTCATGTATTTTCTTATAACAACTCTTCCTTCTGCAAATTGTTGTTAAAATTTTTACTGCACTAAAATATATAAATTAATGTATTTTTGATTCTGAGCATATTGAGCAAAGAATGGAAAATCAAGAAAGATAGTCCCTTCCCTCTCAATCCTTAAAAACACAAGGATAGCTTGAATAATTTAAAAGCATCAATGTTTCATGCTTATGTCTTGGCTCATCATTGATGTAAGAACCATGGTTTTCATTACTTCATAACAGTGCCAAATATTCAGTAGGCATTCAAATACCAGTTGGTGGAGACCATTCTCCTAAGTGAAGTATCACAAGAATGGAAAAACAAACACCACATGTACTCACCATTAAATTGGAACTAATCAAACAACATTTACATGCACATATGGAAATAAAATTCATTGGAAATCAAGCAGGTGGGAGGAAATCAAGCAGGGGAAAGGGGGATGAGTAAATTCACACCTCATGGGTACAATGCACACTATCTGGGTGATGGGCACACTTATAACTTTGACTCAAACTGTACAAAAGCAATTTATGTAGCCAAAATGTTTGTACTCCCATAATACTCTGAAAAAAAAGAAAAACACCAGTTGGTTCTTTTGTTTTAAGGATGTTTAAGGTCTTTACTTGTACCTTACTCAAGATAGCAGGGGAAAAAAAAAAAAAAAAAAAGAAAAAAAGGCAGAAAAAAACTAAAAAAAAAATTTATAGAAAAAATACCCATGGAAAAAAGTTTACCTTAGCATTTTGGTGATAGAATAAAAGATTTTTAAAGTAATCTGCCATTTTACAGGGATTGTTTCAAATGCACTTACTATCTAACTCACCCCTCCAACAAATACATATTATGTGACTACTGTGTATCCAGCAGGTTTGTAACAAGACAGACAGCACCCTTGCCCTCCAGAAATTTCCAGTTCGGTATAGAAACTAAACTAAATCATTTCAAACTATAAGTACCATGAAGAAAAAAACCTGAGTGATCGGGGAGTGATGGTATGCCTCCTTTGAACAAAATGGTCAAGGAGGCCTTTTTGAAGAGGTGATATTTGGGCTGAAATGGACAGATGACAAGACACCAATCACACATAGGAAAAGTGTTCCCAGGGCTGCTCTGTACAGGCTGTGAACTGAACACAAACTCCATTTACAAGGACAACAGTGGTGCCCCCAGAGTTGGGCAGTGCAGTAGCTCAGAGTGTTCCAGGCATGTTTAAGTCAATTCACTTGTATAATTAATTTACTTGCTCAAGTTACTTTGCACATCTATCGACATGCACTTAGTCCAGCTGGCTGCAATGGCAATCAAATTAACCGAGTAGTAATTCAGACCAGTCATGAAAATGGTCCTCAGCAAATTGCAGGCTAGAGCTGATGGTGCAGCGGTAACTATCTATATGTTTTCCACTTCTGGAGACATGGGAGACAAGCCTACAAATGGACATACTTTGGAAAAAGCTTGGGATTATTTTTGGAACCAATCCATTGTCTACTCCTGTAGTCCTAATGCCAGGAAAAGGAAATATGAGTAATTGCTGTCCAAACCTAAAGCTGCTTTTCATGGTGAGAAATCCTCCTTCTCTGGGAATGATCATATGTGTGGCTTTGAAAACAGCTTTATAATTACAGACTATACTATTAAAGGAATGTCATTCAATTAACCATTTGACTCCATGGCATGGGGATATCCCATAATAACAGGTTAATGGATTCCATGCTTAATAAAAACCAAAGGGACCATTAGACTTCCAGTAAAGTCAGTAGCCACAGATTCCTTGCTAAACTGTCCTCAAAAGCAAATGTTTGGAAAACCTTTAAGATTCCAAACTAGTTTAATGGTTTTCACAGAAGGGTTCAAAGGTAGCTTTCCCATCAATTTAGGATTGAGGTAGTGGAGGCTTAAACAGAGTTTATATGCTCACCTTAGGTCCCTCTGGAAGTGGAACACCCAGAAAGTGAACCCCTGTTCTCTGAATCTCTCAGCTGATCCTACTTCCTCTCTGAACTGCGCTCATCAGTGTTTGAATCCGCCCAAGTCAGTGCTGAGGAGGAAGTTCCAGTCACTCCTCCTCGCATACTCTGGCATGTAGAATCCAAGAGGGGTTCCAGAGGAGGGGAGCTGGCAGGAGCACAAGACAGGACAGGGCAGAAGTAGCGTTCCTGGGGAGGGCCAGGGAATGGAATTTCACGCCCAAACAGGGGAAGGAAAAATGCAGGCCAGTTTGGCAGGTTGGGATATTCAAGGGCTTCCAATTGTGGGAAGCAGATGGAGGTATCTACACACCAGTGCCAGGGGGCAGGGTTATTCTGGGATATCCAATTCAAAATAGGTGGAAAGATGCATCAGGTCTGAGGACCCAAACAATGAGGGTTGAAGGACCAGAAGTCTCCAGATAGCTCCCTAGAGCTTAGAATAAGGTTTTTCAAACTTTACTGTGCATATGAATCACCTGGAATCTTGCAATTATAAAAATGCAGATTTTGATTCACTCAGTCTAGGGTTCTGTACTTCTAGCAAGTTCTTAGATAATGCAGTTGCTGCTGATTCATGCACCACACTTTGAATATCAAGAAGCTAGACTATGGGGCAAGGTCCCTCCTCCTTTCTCTCCTAAGCATCATGGTCCCAAGAAGAATGGGGCAGCCTGGGACTCTAGAGCCTGGGCAATAACGCCACTACCATCCAATAACACGGCTGAGAGGACACATTAGCCCATAGGCTGGGAGCAGTCCAAGCCTTCTCATTAATTCCAGGGCAGGGACTGAGCAACTGGCTGCTGGATGAGCAACTGGCTGCTGGGTCATATTTGGTGAGTCAAAGGGGAAGGCTTAAATCTCTACCCCTTTTTAATACCTCAAAAAAAGGATCTCTTTTCACCTCTACTGTGGTCAGTGCTTTCAACGAGGTCCCTTTACAGAATGGGACTCGCAGTGTGTTGAAAAAACACTGTGATCCAGGCCAGCAGGTAGAGTTTAGAGGTTACTGCTCTCTCATGCTAGCCTTCCAGGAAAACATAAAGGGAAGATTTCCTCCACGGCTACCTTCCTGGAGCTCTAAATTGGGTGCTGTGTGGTTAGTTTTGCGTCGACTTAGCTAGACTATAGTGCCCAGTGGTTCAATTAAATACTAATCTAGAGGCTGCTGTGAAGGCATTTTGTAGATGTGCTTAACAATCTATCATCCGTTGACTTTAAGTAAAGGAGTTTTTCTTGATAATTTGTGTGGGCCACATCCAATCAGTGGAAAGACCTTAAGAGAAAAACTGAGACTTCTCCAAGGAAGAAGAAATTCCACCTGTCAACTGCGGCTTCAGCTCTGCTGGAGGGTTTCCAGCCCTCCGGCCTGCCCTGCGGGTTGCAGACCTGCCAGCCTCCACAACTGCGCGAGCCAATCCCCCGAAGTGAACTTCGTTAACATGTAGAGTAGATCCTCATTATTCATGGAGTCTGTATTTTGGAATTGCCTACTTGCTAAAATTCATTTGTAACCCCCAAATCAATACTTGTAGTGCTTTCACGACCGTTCACAGACATGTTTAGAGCAGTGAAAAATGTAAGTCCCCCTATGCGTACATTTCCCGCTGAGGTCAGATGAGGTGACACTTTCTTATTTCAGCTCTCCTACTGTAAACAAATGTCCCTTTTGCAGTCCATTCAGTGCCACAATTTTCACATTTTTTGTGCTTTTTGTTGGTGATTTCATTGTTTCAAATGACCGCTAAGCTTACTGCTGAAGTGCTGTCTAGTGTTTCTAAGCACCAGATGCCTGGCGTGCCTTCCAGAGGAAATGCGTGTGTTAGACAAGCTTTATTCAGGCATGAGTTATAGTGCTGGTCGCCATGAGTTCAACGTTCAGGATTCAACAATATCTGTTAAGTAAGGTGTCTTTAACCAGAAACACCATAAAACAAGATTCTATCTTGATCACTTGATGACAATATTGTGACCAGAGGTTCACAGGAACCTAATTCTGTATTTCCCCTAGGAGCAATGGCTCAGTATTTGCTAATTCAGTGTTTGTGGTGGCTTTCCTTTTAATTTCAGAGTATACAACTGTTCAAATGTTTTGGTCACATAAATTGTTTTTGTATAGTTTGAGTCAAAGTTACAAGGGTGCCCATCACCCTGTGGTGGCTTTATAGAAAAAACTACTCTGAAAAACAAGAATCGACTGCATCGTGTGTGCGCGCATGCGTGTGTCTGACTGGTTCTGTTTCCCTGGCAGCGCCCCGACTGATGCAGGTGCAGAACCACCCTTCCTCCAGGACTGGCTACGCCCAGCACAGATGATGACGGCCTTCTGCCCTTGCTGTATTCAGACCCCTGACATTAGTCTGCAGAAGGAGGAAAGGAGTCCATGTACAAACCTCCCAGTGAATGTTAATAGTCCCTTTAACAAGGAAAGGTTTTCTCTTACTAATTCACATTTAGGAACACAAAATATATGCAGACCCAGTCATTTGGATGTTACTCCGTCTCCCTGATACAGTAAGAAGTAGGCTAGACTAGATAATAACTGGAATGCATTTCAGCATTTTTAATGCAATTTGGGTGATGAGTCCCAAATTACTTTTCTAATGTAAACCAATCAAGTATATTCCAGTTTGAGTGTCTTTACCAAAAATAAACTTTCTTATGAATGCATAAAAAGTAATTAGACTGTCTCCAAGGCATTGGGCCTATTCCCAAAGGTGGAGAGAAGCCAGCATGTCTTGGAGAAAATGGAAGGTACCAATTCAATCACCCCACTGCCCTTCCTCTTCCCACCCTAGCGGTCAGTTTTAGTCTTCTCAGAGCCTGTGGTTACGTCTCCAGCTTGCCTGGGCCACAGCTGCAGGCTCTGTTCCTAATTCTAAATTTATCCTCTTTCATGTTGCTCTGACTGTCACAGGAGGGTCTGGGCAAGAGAGAACGATGTCTTAGCTCAAATCCCTCCCTGCTCCTGGAACTACCCATGCTCAGGCCTCAGAGGGCTGGGTCAGCAGCCCCGCTCCGCGGTTGTGTGCGCTTTGCCCGCACGACACCTGAATGGGGCTTGAAAAGGCTTACAAATAATTCTCTTTTTACTTCAAGAACATGTCACGACTAAGAATAAGTATCATGCATTAGCTGCCACTGATCCTGAAATAAAATGCTGTCTGGACAAAAAAAAGGAAAAAAAAAAGCTTCTTTTATACACAGCTTCTAGGAAATCAGAACACCATTCACTTCTCAGACCATCCACAATGCAACTCAAGTGTCAAAAAGTGTTCAACACAAGCAGAGGAAAGGGAGAGTGTGACAGTGTTCAGAATTTATTTTATTCAAAAGCATTTCCCTCTTAATATTTAGCAACTTCCATGGCACGAATAGTATTCTAAGCTGTTAAATGGTAGAATGGCAGCTACCTTGTCCTATGATTGCTATACTAAATAAGAATAGATAGTAAAAAAAAAAAAAAAAGGTGTACCTCACCACCACCAAATAAAACATTGTAGAAATACATGTGTTAAACAAAATGATTGAATCAAATGATCTCAACCCAGGAAAAGATGTCTAAATGGCTAAACAGGACTAGCTCTTACGAAGTTTGGCTTTAGGGGTACACCATGGCTCTGTGCCCCACATCTTCACACCCTACTGGTCACCTCTTATTCTGTGACACCAAGTGCTAAGTACTTCCTCCTTGCTATTCCTTCTCCTGCTCTCAGCTGGCTGTCCCCCTTGAGAGGATTCAATTGAGTTAAGGGGCAGAAAACTATAGCCCATGGGCCAAAATCAGCCTATCTTCTGCTTTTTTTTTTGAGACAGAGTCTTACTCTATTGACCCAGCTAGAGTGCTATGGCGTCAGCCTAGCTCACAGCAACCTCAAACTCCTGGGCTCAAGTGATCCTCCTGCCTCAGCCTCCCAAGTAGCTGGGACTATAGGCAGCCACCATGTCCGGCTAGTTTTTTTCTATATGTTTTTAGTTGGCCAATTAATTTCTTTCTGTTTTTAGTAGAGACGGGGTCTCGCTCTTGCTCAGGCTGGTCTCGAACTCCTGACCTTAAGTGATCCACCCACGTTGGCCTCCCTGAAAGCTAGGATTGCAGGGGTGAGCCACCGCGCCCAGCCTACCTTCTGTTTTTGTAAATAAAATTACATAGAAAAGCAGCTATGCTCATTTGTCTATGTATCATCTATGGCTGTCTGTCACCCTACAATGGCAGAGTTGAGTAGTCGCAGCAGAAACTTTATGGCCCATAATGTCTAAAATATTTACTATATGATTCTTTACAGAAAAGGTTTCCTGGCCCCTGAATCAAACCCTTCACATGAAAGGATAGCAGTTTTAATATGTTACTCTTCCAGGGATTACTTGAATTTTAATAGGGAGGTAATTTCTTAATCTAAAGAATCAATGGCTAACAACGGGATTTCAGTCATTAGTAATGGAATACTCAAGAGATATTTTGGGGTGGGGGAATTTCTTAAGCTCGGTTACTACCTACTTCATCTCCCCATCAACCAAGTTGTGCGTCTACCTAGGGAGGATTTCAATAAAAGTCAAGAGGGTTATGATGGTAAGGAAAAAGACTCAAAAGAGAAGTTGGTCGGAAAGGAGCTTAGGGGTACTGAAGATGGCATTCCGAGTCAAAAACACATAACCCAGCATACTGTCATTTGTCTCAGTCTCACTCAAATATTTATTCTTAGCTTTTTTTTTTTTTTTTTTCTGAGTTGCCCTGAGTAGAGTGCTGTGGCATCAGCCTAGCTCACAGCAACCTCAAACTTCTGGCCTCAAGCCATCCTCCTGCCTCAGCCTCCTGAGTAGGTAGGACTACAAGCATTCACCACAACACCCAGCTAATTTTTTTCTATTTTTAGTAGACACAGGGTCTCGTTCTTGCTCAGGGTGGTCTTGAACTTCCGAGCTCAAGTGATCCTCCCACCTTGGCCTCCCCAGAGTGCTAGGATTACAGGCGTGAGCCACCGCGCCCAGTCTTACATTCTTATCATTTTTAAGCATCACTATTATGTTCAACTTCACAAAGATAAATCTTTTTTATGGTACATAGATTATTTCTCTAGCGTCCCCATGAGCAGTGTTGTTTATCTCTAAACAAGGCTTCTACAACAAAACAGCAGCAGAGAGCCCATGGCACAGCCTTGCTTCCAGACACAGGGCTCATTTTACACTAGCATCATTAAGCCCATTTAGCAAGACTTTGCAGTAGCCATTGAACAAAAGAACAAGAGCATCTGGTTTCCCATCCCAAGGTGAATCAGAGGCTAAGTGTGCACAGGAAGTAACAATCACTTCTAACATTTGCATTTGTTCAGGACATTGCAGCTCACAAAATGTTCTCCAGAACTTCCTTTTGTTTAATCATCAGGACAGTCTCTTGATGTGAAAATTGACATCCCCCTTTTACAGGTAAGGAAATGAAGGATCTGAAGGGTTACATGGCTCACCCTAGATCAAACAGCTGTTGGAGATGGAGTGAGAATGAAAATTCAAGTCCTCTCAGTTGTCTCTGGGTAAAGGGTTCATTCTCCAAACCCATACTAGAGGGACTTTGGGCTTTATTAAGAGCACAGTAGCCAGGTGTGGTGGCTCATATCCAAAGTCTCAGCTCTTTGGGAGGCTGAGGCAGGAGAATCATTTGAGGCCAGGAGTTTGAGACCAGCCTGGGCAACATAGCAAGACCCTATCTCTATAAAAAATTTTAAAAAATTAGCCAGGCTTTGTGGAGCACACCTGTAGTCCCAGCTACTCAGGAGGCTAAGGTGGGAGGATTGCTTGAACCCAGGAATTTGAGGTTGCAGTGAGCTATGATGATGCCACTGCATGTTAGCCCAGGTGACACGAGATCCTGTCTAAAAAAAGTAAAAAATAAAAAAGCAAAGTAGATCAGCACAGTCACTCACCCAATTTTTGAAGGCCAAAGTTTCATCACTCTTCAAGTACACAAGTAGTAAGTGGCAACCTAAAGAGGAATAGGCTCTGTTCAGGTGTGCCCATGAGCTACCCACCTTGGGTACCAGGATGTACTGCACATGGCTCCTGAACCCTCCTGGGATAGTTAGTTACATACCATTAGCACTTTAAGAAGCTTTTCTGCAAACTAGAAAAAGGAGACCAATTCCATGAAGGTGCTCCTTCCCCCATCTAGCCCACCCCTGGGCCACGGTGTGGCCCAGCAAGCTGAGCAGGCTAGATCCAGCCCCAGCTAAAGCCCTTCAACCCAGATAAGGCACCACTGTCCAAGCACAGCCGATACAAGTGTCCTGTGCCCCCCAGTCCCGAAACCTCTGCTCACCAAGAAGGGACGTTTCTCGAAAGAAAGAAAAGTTACTGAAAAGGACTGAATGCGTACACTACAATAAACACTACACAGTTTACCAAGAAGGTAACGGTCACGATGTAAACTCAGTATGGTTTGGGTAGTGATGACACCCCTTCTGAGCTGTAGAACTGGGGCTGGCTGCAGTCCAGGTCATCTCCCTGTCGCCTGGTCCTTCATGGCTAAGCTCCTCGCTGTGTCCCATCAAGCCATTTCCCCCATTCATTCAGGTACTGCCGCATTTAATGGGAACATCCTTGTGAAGGGACAGACAGCCAGCAGAGGGGTGGAATTATTCTTTGTGAGTGTGTGGCCAGCCATGCCCTTCCGCATGTCTCTGTCACACTGTGACAGGGGAGGCTGCTGGGATAAAGCTCCTCCTTCAAGCCTAGACATTTCCAGGAGGCCCGCTGCCATCGAGCATGCAGGGTCTCCTCCTGCTCCTGCTCTAAATGTGCTGGGGAGCCTAGATCAACCCGAAGCCACTGGGCAGAGTCCCCAGCTGAGCTCATTAATCATAATAGAGTCACCTTTCTTGCTCAGAGATCAAAGGCAGCAAGAGCTCACAATCTGCTTTTCAGTTGCTTTCTCATAGGATTTTAAGGAAGAATGGACCCAAGAGCAAAACAGCAGCTCCAACTAACCCTGGGAGAAAGAAGGTCTACTGAGAGTGCAAGCGATGGGAAAGCAGGAGGAGAGTTAGTGGGAGCATGGCAAATCCCCACCACTCCTGTTTCATGGCCACAGCCAAGTAGCCCTGAGAACAAGACCGCAAGGCAGGCAGGTAGAAATGGACCCTCAGACTAAAAAGCTGAATTTACACCACACACATTCAATTTACAAGGTGCCCTGCCTTACATTTACACAGTGTGGCATAAGCCTTTCCAGTCTTGCTCTGATGGCTACTACCACCATGGTCCGCAGGAAAATGGTTGAGCAAGTGAGTTTGCCTTCAATAATGTCCTGTCACCTTTTCTGTACACTTCCCTTTAAAGATCTATTTTCTTCCATATTCAGATTTGGGTTTTAATTATCTTGTTACAGAGTTTGGGGTTTAGTTATCATTTTAAAGACGTAAAAATATCATATGGTATGCATTGGTGGTTCTAGATGCCTAATCATGAAGTTTTGGGGTTGGCTAGAGAACTGACATTCTACACAGTGTTTTCAGAGTATATCCCACTCTAGGTTAGATTGTACTTTTGTGGTATTTACTCACATCAATTCAGCCAAGATTTTAGCCAAGATATGTTTTCTAATGCTGTAAGCATTTCTTAGAACAATAAGAGGGTTATGGTTTTTAAAAATGATTATACATTTAAAAAAAGACTTTTGAGGTTCTGCATAAACAGGGTAGAGTCACCAATAAGAGAGTAAACTCTATTCCCCTTCCTATGGTAAATCACACAAGCTGCCATAATAATTATGCTAAGACTATAGACAAGCCAGTAGTGTTCAAATAATCCAGCTCCATACTATGAATTGAAGACTATATTAGAAAACAATGGTTACTAGAAAATTGTTGACTAGCACAGAGTCAAAATGCGGAACAGAGAATCTTGGCAAGCTTGCTGCTTTATAACCAGCCAAAAATAAACTTAGACATATTGATGTTCTATTGCACATCACAAAATGCTAGGTAAGAAGTATATATAAATATGTGGCTTTGGAAAATAGAGCAGACACTAAAGGGAACACCCAGGAATATTAGAATATGGCAGGGAAGGTTTGATCTCTTCATCCCTAGCACCCTGCTGACACAGAACAGATGCTCAGAAAATTAGATGTTAAACTAAACCAAATTATTTTTTTTTTGTAAATGGTGTGGTAATGGATCTACAAGTTGAGTAATTTGTGTGATTTACAGGCAGATCATATTCTGCTGTCAATTCTCTTCAAAATATGTTAATAAATATTCTCAGCCAATAGGCCCTTTCCCAAAGAATGGGTTTATACCACCAAAAACCACCAATGGTACAAAATTACTTAATTTCCACTATGACCACGGAAGAGTCTTTTAATTTCCCAAAATGAAAATACTAAGAAGAAAACTCATTCAAGGAACTTTTTGGTTTAGGGAGAATTTCAAGAAATAGTCCCAGGGTAAAGGTGGGAGAGCCTGGCCCCAGCACTGACCCTGTGGATTCACTTCCTGTGACTCATACAGTTCACAGGCTCCTCTCCGGCATAGACACCCGCAGGACAGCAACTTGTGTATGAGGCCCTCTGGGTTCCAGGAAAGGCTGGTGGCTGTGCTCCTGTGGTGGGGTGTATGATGCTGACAGGTCAGTGCACAAAAGCTGTGAACCAACAACGAGGACTCCATTTCTACTTTCTGGATCAAGCTCTCTCGGGGGAGATGCTGACAGGTCTTGCTACCTTTCTTCCTGTCTCTGACTTCCTGTTCATCTGTGTGTGCTTAATAACTTCATCATTTATCACTCATTCCACTTCATCCCCAAAGAATAAAGGAAATGAACAATAATCCAGACAAGCTGTTAGTCCCAATTCAGTTGATCTCCTCTTAAGGCAGCCCGGAGTAAAAACCTCAGATTTAAAAAGATGATGGTTGCATTATAAGATGATTATTCACACTACAGAAGAGTTCCTAGAATCCAGAATGATAAAACTGGAAAGGAGTCTTAAAAATCATTATACTCACTCTCTAATTTTATAGATGAGAAAACTGAACCCACAGAGGGAAAATGACTGGGCCAATGACCTTGTCATTCCTATCTCATTCTTTGCAGAAAGGAAAGTTTTGTGATAGGGATTTTAATTTTTTAGAGTAATCAAATGTTTTTTATTTTTAAAAATTTAACTTACACACACATTCCTAGAAAAACACTATTGCATGTAGTGAGAGACATGGCTTATGAAATGGAATATAGTGCTACATTTAGAAATATGGTTCTACTAGAATAATGAAAATCATTTCATATCCAAATTCATTTTAGTACTTTCTATTAACAACTCGTATTTGGAATAAATACTTATTAGGAACAGAATGATCCAAATAGGTGACCCATGAATGTCTTGAGTTTATATATTGACACAAATATATTTTTAAACCTTGAGAGGAGACAAATCATTAACAAAGTGAAGGTCACTTCATCTGCCCTTGATAGCCTTTGTGGACATCCTCTCAGCTGCCTTCACAACATTCCCCAGGTTCAATCTCTACAACTTGCCCCTGTGAGTTTTCAGGTAGCAGCTGTGTGAGCAACTCATGTACATGTGGACATGCACACACACGCGTGCACACACACACAATCCTCCTAGGAACAAAAGCTGACACAGAACCTTAAGTCAATAGAAAAGAAAATGCTTTTCTTCCTTTCTTTTTTTTAAACCTGATGCAGGGACCCTTCTTTGGGGCATGCTGTCAGTCTGGGCTTTTGTCCTGGCTAGCTCCTGATTTTTTCATGCATGCTGATAACTCCACTCCTGCACAGGCACATTGGCTGACAGCCGCCTGCCCTCCCTGTATTAAGAAGTGTGGATCCATTGCTGTTATGGAGCCTGAAGCACAGCCAAGAAGAAATCTCACAGGACCCTCTTCCCAGACCTCTGTGGGCAGAATAAAAATGAGACACATATGATAGCATGAAGCCTCCAGCACTCTAGGGGCAAAGTGAGGGGCTGTGTTAAAGGTCAGGAGGATGTTCTGGTTCTTGGGAAAGAAATAAAATGGAAACATGTTATCCTTTACATAAGAAGCTCCTTCAGACCAACAGGGTGAGTCTTTTTCTGTCATTTTCTTCAGAACGGGAATAGGAATTTCTTAAAGCAAAGATACACATTCACAGCTGGGCAAGGGCAAGTTGAGAGATGTCTCCATGACTTTCTAAGTACCCAGGGTCCCCATCCTGCTGATCAGATCACAGAGGAGGCAAACTAATATGCTCATTTATACTAAAGTGTTAAAGACATGATGTATCACTTCTCCCAGAGGTATCCAGATGTAGCTGCTTTCCAGAGGCCCATGGAGAGCAAGCAATATTTAACCTAAAGGAATCTACAGAAGTAATGCTAGAGTTTCAGGCAGCAGAGCTTTTTAATCACCCTACCCAGGAAACCACTGATTAATACTAGGGTGGATCTAAATATATCCATCTGACGAGGTGACAGGGAAAAAAAGGAAATATCATACATAACAAACCTAGAAGGGTAAGTCATGGCTTCTGCTATTTTTCCTTCCTCCTTCCCTTACCCCTTTCTAACCCTCATAATTGTTCTGGCAACTTCACGTCTCTGACTCCACTTCCCCATGTGACTAAACCATTTGTGAAGATTCAGCAAAACACGTCTCAGGCGTTTCATGAGTAAAGATAAACCCAGTGCTGGGTTCAGTGCAAAACGAAATTAAGGATCAAAACAATGCCACAAAATAGAACAAAAGAGCAAACGTTCAGGTAGAAATGTTAGGCCACACCAGAGCTAGCACAAATAGCACACAAAGCTGCAGGAATCACTAACGTTTTTATGAGGAAGAAGGATACTTAAGCTAAGGATACTTGATTCAACTCGAGTGTGGTCCCAAGGGTGGGGTAGGAGGATGGGTCCACCCCCAGACCAGGCAATCAGGGGGTACATAGCCTGGAAAAGACCTAAAAATATTCACAAAACCCACTGAAAGTCAGTCTGTTTTTTATTATCACCATGGCAAGCAATTCTAAACAATGTCAATGATAAACTGTTCTCCCCCACACCAAAAAAAAAAAAAAAGCTTTTTGTTGGCCTAAGTGCTAAAAAATTGTCGAAGTTGTAGTTGAGTTTTAAGAATAGAAATGTATGCTTCAACTTAGCACTATTTTTATTGCTTCTCCTTTAATAAACATTGCATGCTACATGGAAGTTGATTCAGAGAATTAATTCTATGCATTTATTTTGAGAGTAAGTATGTAACAAAGCTTGCTTTGGGCACAATTCGTGTCTCAGCCTCCCTGGTACTGTACTACACAGTCCTGTGTTCAAACAATGATTGGGAATAAACAATGCTAGCACAGAGATTGTAAAGACAAACAGAACCTGAGTTACTTCAATTTCTGTCATTCTGTGTGACTGCCTGAAGTTTCTAATTGTGTTTCAAGTTTCTGGAATTTATTGTGGAATGGGCTTTTTACATATCTCTGCCAAATGCATCCTTATGTTGACATTTTTTCCTATTTATTTAATCTGTTCCTTCATGTGAAAGAAATCTTTCAAAATTAAAATTAATGAAAAGTGTTCTTCAATCAAAAATAGATTGACACATCACGGATATTAGAATAAAACAACTGATAGTCATTGACAAATTTTCAGAAGTTAGTCACAAAAGCAGAAACTGTAAAATTACTATTCATTACCATGAAAGACCAATATGTAGGTATAAATTGTCATTCCTGTCTTCAAAAAATACATTAATGAAATTAAAAATATTATACCATAACTTTTCCCCTTTTTTAGATTGTAGTATTTATTTTATTTGTATTTGTATTGATATGATACAAAGTTTAATGAAAGAAAATTTTTTTTCTGACCATTATTATTTGTTTCATGTTGTGATTTCGACTAAAAATAATTTTGTCACAGAGAAGAAGGAAGTCTTAAAACTGACCCACTCTGGGTGTCAAATATTAGGCCTGGCGCTCTAACCTGTTTCCTGTTTTGTTTTTGTGGCTCCCTGACTATCTCCCTGCCACGCAGCGGTACCCTTCCCCTGTCTAAGACATATTAGAGAAAGGTAGATCTGATGCACTTAAAATAATTCACCCCTCCTCCCCGATTCTTCTCCCACCTTTCTCCCACTTTTTCTTGTAGAGGAGAGAGTTTGGTTACAAACTGAGTTAGAACTCAGTCCTCCACTCTTTCCCACTTGCACTTGCTGAGAGCAGAGATGAGCAGAGGCTAATCAGCCAGGACCCACTTGTCCACCCATAAGAAGCTGAACCCGGCTAGGGAGGGGTGGGAGAAAGGGGAATTCCAAGAGCACAATCCCTGCTGTGACTCTCTGACCCCAGGCATGCCCTCTCCAGCCAGGAGGACTCTGGAACTTTCTTTTCTGGAGGAGCATCCGCAAAAACACAGTTCTGCGATGCAAAATGAAGGAGCGCTGGCTGTAGCCCACAGCCTCGCCACTCCACCCTCGACACCCAGGCCCCCAGCGCCAAGCTTCATCCCTCCAGAGAGAACAGAGTTCCCATTTCAATCCATGCCCCGCCCCACAACCCCTTCCAACTCTGAGAACCCAACTCTGGTCAACCCAATGCCCTTAACACGGAACAATCCACTCCAAGCAAGAGGGAAAATAGTTCCCATCCAAATTTGGCATAGGATTATCATCATTCTTCAGTTTTCTGAAGGATCCTAAGTTATCTACCAGCAATTCGCTATGTCATTAAGTGTCACATTTTTTGTGTGTCGGCGACAAGGAAAAGTTATGATATTTATTTTTCATTTTTACTTAGCTGAACATAATGAATTCCACCGATGGCCTAGTTCTGGAATCCACCAATCAAGGGAAATTGTAAAGTTCACCATAGTAACAGTTCCATGTCAGTGGCCCGCGTGAGAACCACACAGCTTAGGAGGCTCCGGCCAATCGCAGGGCAGAGTAACGTTACCATCTCATAGCAACCGAGGGATCTGCATGGCAACATCAGTTGCTATATAAAAGAAAAATTAGAAACAATATTCTGTTAGGGAGAAATAAAGGTATTAGCTGTTAAGTCATACTTGAGTCACAGTTGTGAGGACCTATCCTAAAATATCCACCTAAACATAGCTCAGATAATACCTGCCACATCCACGTGTCCACATGCCAGGAACACGACCCTCACCGCCAACTGGAACCACCCGAGGAGTGAAAGAGATGCATATCCATAGAACAGATCGCTTCTGAACAGGAAGAGGAGAGGCCTGTGAATACTAACAGAAAGGCGTACTTGCAGGGTAAATTATACATCCTTAAATCATCACATGTAACCCTGTGGGGGAGGCAGGGCAAATATTATTATCATTAAATTCTCTACAACCCCCCATCTGTTCCTCCCTCAGCCTTCCCATCTTGTTTAATGGCAACACAATTCTTCTAATTGCTCAGGCCAAAAACCCTGGAGTTCTCCTTGACTATTTCCTTCCTTTCACACCCATCTCCAATCCATCAGCAAACCCCGTTGTTTCTACCTTCAAGTTATGTCCAGAATCCAACTACTTCTCACCACCTGTACAGCTGGTCTCTGGTCCACTCCACTGTCACCTGTTGCCTGGAGACACTAGCCCCCAACCTGGTGCCCTGCTTCATTCTGTTCTTGGCATGGCAGCCAGAGTGACCCTTCCAAAACACGAGTCCTTGACTCACAGCCCTCCAAGGACTTCCCATTCTAACTCAGTGCAAAAACCCAAGTCCTCACCAGGACTATAAGATTTTGCACAACTCAGCCAGTCATGAGCCCTCTGACCCAACTGCTGCCACCTGCTCCGGGCATGCTGGCCTCCTTGCTGTGCTTCTAGCACATCAGGCTTCCTCTACCTCGGGGCCTTTGCACTAGCTATCTCCTGTGGAACATTCTTCCCCCAGAGACCCTCACAGCCCAATCCCTCACTTTCTTCAAGTGTTTGCTCAAATGTCACCTTCTCTGTGAATCCTTCTCTGATCTATTTTAAAACTGGACTCTCCATATCCACAGCCCCTCGCCTCCCCTTCCCTGGCACTAGTGGGCACCTGGAACAATGCCTGGCCCATAGTAAGTACTCGCTAAATACCTGATGGTGAATATAGGAAGCACTTTTTTACAAGTAAAGTAACCCGGCTCAAGAAGCTAAATGATTTAGTCAGATGCTCACAGGCAGAATGTATTAGAGCCCAGACGTGAACCCAGATATCCTAATGGCTCCCCCAAACTGTGTGCAGCCCTTTCTTCCTCATTTTGGTTTCCTTCTCCAGATCTACCACCACTTCTAGTAAGTGCCAGGAAAGCATTCCTACCCTGGGAAGGGAAGAGGGAACTCTGGGCTGGTGGGGTGGCTGTGAGCATGGCCGCAGCAGGAGTGGAGACTATGGGTGAGCTGGCCCAGACCCTGAGCAGTGTCCCAAATGGAGTGGCCCTTCCAGTGGGGCAGACCTTCCCGTGGAGTCAGGGAGTATGGCTGAGACCACAGCAATCCCCTACTGGTGGTGGCCTCCTCCATCCCTTCCAGGCCACTTTTCTTAGGGACAGGAACAATTCCTTTGACCACTTAGTATTCCTATCCCTTTATTTGCTTGGGTCAAAGGCAAGATTTAAATGGATTTGTTAGTCTGCAAAATGTGTCATCATCATTCTTGCTAGTTTGTTCTCAGAGCCTCAGAGCTGTATTAAGTATATGTTGCATGACTGGTTTGAAAAAAAAATAGAAAAATTTGGTCACCAAATGTTTCTTGGTCTATACAATAAATATTTTTTGAGAGGCCTGTGAATACTAACAGTAAGGCATACTCTCAGGGTAAATTATACATACTTAAATCATCACATGTAACCCTGAGGGGGAGGCAGGGAAAATATTATTATCACTAAATTCTGTGGAATTATGTGTAATAGTGTTTTTCAATTAAAATTATACTGAAAGCTGGTAGCAGCATGCCTACGTTCTCTGCCCTGATTCTGCTGGTAGAGAGTAAGGAATGGAGGGGGAGATGGGGTGGGAGAGGGGAGAGACTACCCAGACACAGGGCAGGGATATGAATAAACCCAAGGCAGGAATGTTTTGCTTCCCTGGCTTATTTTGGTGATTAGGAAATGTGGGTGTAGACACAGCCACCATCATCAATCTTCTGGGTACCTGTTGAAGGAAAAAATTGTCGTCACTCTTTCACCAAGAAACTAGAAACACAAAAGACAAAATCAATAGTAATCATAGCTACCCCTTTTTGAGCACTTACAATGTGGTAGGCATTTTGCTAAGTGTTTCTGTACAGTTTTACATTGAAGCTTCTTAGCAGCCCCAGATGGGAGGAATTCCCTCTCCATTTTACAGAATATGCTCAGAGAAATTGAATAACCTGCCAAAGGTCATACAGATAGAAAGTGACTCATTTTCCTCCATAATCATTGCTCTTAACTGTTACATTGCACTTCATCTCTTCATTAAGATTAATTCATGTGATATAAAGAAACATGGGGAGCCCAGTGCAGTGGCTCACGCCTATAATCCTAGCACTCTGGGAGGCCGAGGCGGGAGGATCACTTGAGGTCAGGAGTTTGAGATCAGCCTGAGCAAGAGCCAGACCCCGTCTCTACTAAAAATAGAAAAATTAGCTGGGCATAGTGGTGTGCACTTGCAGTCCCAGCTACTCAGGAGGCTGAGGCAGGAGGATCGCTTGAATCCTGGGCTTTGAGGTTGCAGTGAGCTATGACAACACCACTGAACTCTACCCAGGTCAACCAGGTGAGATTGACCAGGTAAGATTCAGTCGAAAGAAAGGAAGGAAGGAAGGAAGGAAGGAAGGAAGGAAGGAAGGAAGGAAGGAAGGAAGGAAGGAAGGAAGGAAGGAAGGAAGGAAGGAAGGAAGGAAGGAAGGAAGGATGGGAAAAATATAAAACGTAAGGAAACATTTTAAAACACTACTCAGTGAAAGTACTGATCCTTCCCTAGTATACAGAGCCATGTGTGGCGCACTGGGCAGGTGTGTGGAGGCCCTGAAGGGACCGGGCCACAGTCCTGCTTCTCATCTCAGGGGCAACACCGTCATCCCCTCCATTTCATGCCACAAAATTAGCTCTGTAGAGACAGAAAGGGAAATGCTAATGTCCTGCTCACAAGGTTCACATACTGAATGCCAAAGGTCGTGGAACACAGGCTGTCCTATAATCTCCTCCCTGTTGACATAAAACTCACAGGTGAGATGCTTTATTACACACAGGACCCCAGGATGGCCAGCGCTCTCCACGTGGGGATCGGGGATCAAGGGTGCACCCCAAAAGCAAACGGAACTGGGAGGCCTGGAGTGTTCTACTGAAACTTTCGGCCCGGCAGGGAGGAAGAGGCAGGCTGTGTTAAGATGCTGCTCCTTCTTAGCTGCATTTCGTGCCTTCTAGTATCTTGCCCCAGAAGCAAATCTAAACCTAAACAGGGGAGAAAAAAAAAAAACTTTTATAGATTCCTGAATTTTTTAAAACAAATCCAGCCTAGCTTTACGGATGAATGTGAAGCCCACATGCCAGAGGGTCTGGCATTCTGACACAGTCCAGGGCAGTTTCTATCCAGACTAAACTTTCTGGCCTTTAGCCTGAGAAGCAGATGTTTCTCTGTATTCAAAGGTGGGTGTAGCTGCGTTACCTAATATCGGGGCCAGTTTTCAGTTCATTTCTATGTTTTCCAAGCAGCAACAGCTCTCACCTACTACTTTCACCTTTGCAGTGAAGCTTCCCTGGACCACCCCAGACCCGAATTCCCTCAGCACGTGTTCTTTGGACCAGGCATTAGGTACTTGGGTACTCGTCTATTTGCAAGTGTTGTAAGACAGCGTAGCCTAGTGCAAAAGAGACTGGAATCAGACAGATGGGAGCTCAAATTCCGACTCTGAGATTTGCTAGTTTTGAGCTTTTTGGCAAATTGCGTACCTTCAGTTCTGTCATCTGTAAAATGAACACAAGGATACCTATCTTATAGAAGTTTTTTGGTAAGGAGTAATTAAGCTATTATAATGGGAAAGGACCTTTTATAGTGCCTGGAACATAGCAAGTTCAGGCCAGGCGCAGTGCCTCACACCTGTAATCCCAGCACTTTGGGAGGCTTTAGCGAGAGGATTACTTGAGGCCAGGAGCTCCAGACCAGCCTGGGCAACACAGCAAGACTTCATCTCTACAAAAAATAAGTAAATAGATAAGCCAGGTGTGGTGGTGCATGCCTGTAGTCCAAGCTACTTAGGAGGCTAAGACAGGAGGATCACTTGAGCCCAGGAATTCGAAGTTACAGTGAGCTATGATCATGCCACTGCACTTCAGCCTGGGCCACAGAGTGAGATCCTGTCCCTTAAAAAAATTATTATTTTAAAAGCAAAATACATAAACAAGCGAACCAAGAGATGGCCAAAATGGGAATATAGCATTCTAGTTGGATCTCAATCCTTGCCGAACCCTCCTAATTTATTACATATGAATGGATTTCTAAGGAGAGAACTAAAATGCAGTAAATCCCATCTCTGAAAAGGAGACATCCCGCCCCCTAATTTTTGAGACAAGTCGGCTACCTTTCCCTTAGCATTGAACGCTGGTTTTCTTCTCAACATAGTCAAGGACCAAGCCTCTCAGTCTATGATATTATATATTAGATTTAGGCTCAAGGTTTCCCCTCTGATCATTGCAATGCTCTGCCTCATCTCACCAAAGCCAGGGTTAAGGACACTGTCATCTTTGTGTCAGTGTCTTCAGCTCTTCTGTTGGCCTTCAAGTCTCTAAACAAAAACCATCTGAATAATCATGGTATAGATTTCAGACTATAAATCCTACGTAAGTACATGTGCCCAAACCCAGAGTAGATAGGAATAGTCTTTTGACAGATGAAATACCAATTTTAAATGATGTAAACCAGAGCCTATGTCAGCTCCTTCCCTCCTTTTAAATATCTCTGTAAATTACAGACAGTCCCTGACTTCAACAATTTTTTTTTTGCTTTACAATGGTACAAAAGCCATACACATTCAATAGGAACCATACTTCAAGTACCCATAAAGCCATTCTATTTTTCATTTCAGTACAGTATTCAATAAATTACATGAGATAGACAATGCTTTATTTAAAATAAGCTTTGTGTTAGATGATTTTGCCAAACTGCAGGCTAATATAAGTGTTCGGAGCATGTTTAAGACAGGCTAGGCTGAGCTATGATATTAAGTAGGTTAGGTGTATTAAATGCATTTTCAGCTTACTGATTTTTCAATTTATGATGGATTTTTCAGGATGTAACCCCATTGGGGAGCATCTGTTATTTGTCATGGCCATTGGGTAAATTAGATAGATGTCCCCCAGCCATTGGGAATAGAAATACAAGCGTCTTCCCTGGTGCTGATGTGAGTTTACTGCTCGGGACTTGGAACAGCTTTATGAAGCAGTTGTACCTGCCGTGTGATTATTGCTGGAAAATGCAACTGAGCATAAACTGTGGAAATGGGGTTGGGGAAGACCATGCTAATCTGCAGGCCCAGCTCGGGTGCCTGGCTATGAGGGTGGGGAGCCTGTTTATTCACTGGAGGATTCAGTGAGCCCAGAGGGAAAACAATGGAAAAGAAAACTTTGGGACTGAAGGGGGTTGAAAGGGGTCAAGGATTCAAATGCCTGAATTCTGCCTGGGTGCTCTGGGTAACTGTTGGTGTGGAAGGATGCTTTTAGATAATGCACAGGATAATGCTGCCCAAATAGCCTCTGAGCCAGCTCTGGGGCTCTTGTCCCATGTTCCCCAGAGAGAGGGCTACCAGGAAATAGAAAAGATAAGTCCTTCTATTCAGGATGCTAATGAAAGAATCCTTAGGAAGAAAGCACACTCTTAGAGCAGCAGATTAGGCAGCAGAGCAGGGGTGGCTCCATTTACAACTGCAAAATTCTTCCAAGAAAACTTCTAAGGAGAATGTAAGACGTACTATACTGCCCTCAGGCCAAGGCAAGAGGGGGGCCATGCTTGGAAGGCCCCACATTTCGCAAACACACACACAAAATTAATTTTAAGGAACACATGGAGAGCTTTGTCCCTTAGGATCTGGGTCTTAGCTCTGGCACACTGAGACCCTAACCCTAAACATCTGTTCTTCTGACTGACTCATTTCAAGCCTCAGGGAAACATTCCCCCCCATCTCTTGCTTTGCATCTAAACACCATCAGAGATTGTGAGTTTGGGTTTTGCCGCGTGGAGTTGGACACTGCTTAGAGGGTGGGTAGGATTTGAGTGGCTAAGGCAATTTGGTAAGCAGGACGTCCACTTGCCCAGTCTTTCCTATCAGATATCATGAGTGGGATAGATTATTTCATAAAGAGGTATCACTTTGCAGTAGTACTCAAGGCAATTTTCTTGCTTTCTTAAACGTTTCAATTTGTGGTTCAAAGAATAGCACATATTTTATCATTTGTTAGCCTGATTCGAAGCATTTAAATAACGCCATTGATATTTTTGTCTCGAACCCCACAAATGTTAGGGTGGGTTCATCTGCATCTGCAAGTTACCCAGGACCCTGCCTTAGGCCCCAGCTCAGAGGGAGGAAAAGGATGGGACTGTTGTAGCTGTGATTCTGCTGCATGAGGATTCATTACCTTTGCACAAGGAGGAGTGGCTGATCCAGTTGGCCAGACCTGGCCATTTATTGAGCCACACTCTTGAGTATGGTGAGCTGGGGTCTCATGGCAGGAGAAATAGCGCTAGCCAGTCCCATTCAGGTTCTTCCCACCCACTCTTGCTTCTGTCTCCACAGAGTCTCGAAACCAGGAAGGGCCTCTCTGAGGGCAGCCAACCATTCTCCCCTCTGCTCTGTTCAGCGCTAAGTGGACGAGTGAGATGGACCTTGAATCCACACAGCAGGCAGGGTTAGTGTTTGGACTCTGTGCTGCAGGCTCAGTCATGTGCACAGGACTTTGTGAGCCCCAGGGCAGAGGAGATTCCTGGTCAGAGATGCGCGGTCATAGGTCCAAATCACACTCCCCAACACAATTTTTCAGAACCCTGTTTTTTGAAGGTATATTAGACAAGGTAGGCTGAGTGGCTATAATGGACGACCTGCTAACTCAGAGAGAATGTAGATCACCTCTGTCATGTTTTGGCTGAGGTTTAGCAGACAGTCACTTGAGGACTGCGGCTGCTAGCGCCCCTGCCATCTTCAACACGTGGCTTCCAAGGCTGCGCTATTCCAGCCATCCAGAAAGTGAAAGAGGGCAATCTGGGGCCAGAGATTCCTCTTAAGCCAATGAGCTAGAAGTTGCCTGTATCACTTCCTCCCAGACTCCACTGATGACAGCCTAGTTGCATGACCCTGTCTACTCCAAAGGAGCCTGGTAAAGGGGAGCACCGTTTGGGGGACAGCTAGCATTCTCCACCAGAGAGGAGTTATTGAGCCTTGGAAGGAATTTGCAGGATGCAGTTTTGCTCAAAGGCAGACATTCTACAGGAACATACTAAAGTGCTTATTTGTTTGCCTGTTTGTTAATAGTCTGAGAAATTGAATGGCAATAGTTACTCACGAAAATGTTCCAGCCCAAATCACCTGTTACATAAATTGGGGCAGAACTCTCAGTCATATGCTTGTTCAAGTATTTGAGCAGATGTAAATTCATTTGGGGATAAAAACAAATAAAGTTTCTTTTTATAGGCCTCATGAAGCCTAGCTAAGTGTGGAAGAGGGATGACCCTTCACCTGTAAGGTTCCTAAGTTAATAGTCTTTGTTAGTTTTCTTGCCCATCTCTAAAGCTTATCACTTCTCCTTGAATCAACAATCAATTTATGACCCATGGCTGGTCAAAAGTAGGCTGTGACACCTTTTAGTTAAGAGACAGAGCCTGAAGGATATATTAGTTTTATTCATTTAGGTTCTCCAAACAATAATCCCAACTTTCTATATTTCTAATTTCTCTAGGTAAAATCATTGGAAAGTAATATACCTGGAGCATATGATCTTAGTTTTCCCAAAGCGCTTGCAAAAAAAAAAAAAAAGATGAGTTTTTTTTTTAAAGCTATGTACTTGACATTTTTTAGGATAATAATGTTTAAATCTATGTAAGATCATTTATTTTCTTTTGTTAACTAGTAGTTAAACACATCACCCTTTAAGTTACTCAAGATTTCTTATATGAGCATCTCTGTAGTAAATTCCTTCTGAAATCCTGAACTGGAAAATTTTATATCTTCAAGTGCAGGTAATGTATCTTTTTTCTCTTCTAACAAGAATCATACAATCTACCCAAGCCCCTGATTATCTTAATTTCTAAGATTGATGTTAAACTTAATGATCAACTATAAAAGTTAGTTCAATTCTGGTGTCTGAAATATATATTCCAATTTATGTTTTGTTTTGTTTTTTGAGACAGTCTCACTCTGTTGCCTGGGCTAGAGTACTGTGGTGTCAGCCTAGCTCACAGCACCAATTTATGTTTTAATGACCTTTTTAAAATTTTGAGACAGTCTCACACTGTTGCCTTGGCTAGAGTACTATGGTGTCAACCTCATTCACAGCAACTTCAAACTGTTGGGCTCAAGTGATCCTCCTACCTCAGCCTCCTGAAGAGCTGGGAGTACAGGCATGTGCCACTATGCCCAGCTAATTTTTTCTATTTTTAGTCGTCTGGCTAATTTTTTCTATTTTTTAAATAGAGATGGAGTCTCACTCTTGCTCAGGTTGGTCCCAAATTCCTGACCTCAAGCAATCTTCCCGCCTCAACCTCCCAGAGTGCTAGGATTACAGGTGTGAGCCACCACGCCTGACCATTAATGAACTTTTTACTTTGGAATAATTTTAGATTTACAAAAACTTTATAAAATAGTACAGATAGTTCCTGCATACTCTTCACCCAGTTTCTCCTAATATTAACATGTTATTGATCCTCAGTACATTTTCAAAACTAAGAAATAATCATTGGTGCATTGCTAGTAACTACACCACAAACATTGTTGGGATATTACCAGTTCTTCCACTAATGTCCTTTATCTGCTCCAAAATACCTAACTGCATTTATGTCACCTTGTTTAAATTGTCTGGTTGAAAGTTATTTCTAAGAAATGTAATGGCTAGAAACTGAAAAAACATTTATTTATTTAAGATTTGCAAAAGATTTTCTTTCTCAAGCAAAAAGTAGAGAAACTAATTTATCCTTAGGGCAAACCATTCCTTTGTTTAGGAAAAAACAAAACAACCCTGAATGGGATGTTTAGATACACAAAAGTAAAGCAAGTACCCAATATTCGTGTCTGAAGAAGCCTGTAGAACAAGCTTAAGTAAATTTAAGTAAACTTAAGTAGATTCGCTGTTAAGTTTTCAACTAATAAACTAAATGTTCTATTTTGCAGTTTAGCTGGGTGAAAGCTATGCATATGCTGTGTTGCTGTTGGGGACAGGAAGGCAGTTATGAACAGAAGATGGGGGTTTCCTTAAAATGAATGAATATTCATACTACCAGCATCCTGGGAAAAAAGACAGCTCTTGGGACAGGAAATGAGGACTTGAGAGGAAAGCCTTAGATCTCTGTGGGGGATGGGGATTCTTCCCTTGTTCCCAGCCTTGGATTTCAAGTTATGAAGACAAGCTCAAGGGATTCCCAGCAGTGGGAATGCGCTGGCCTTTGCTACATGGAGACAGGCTAAGTACCTCCAGCTCCATGAGGCTAACCTTGGGGCCTGGGGCTCTGAGAGCAGCCTTATCTAGTGGCAATCATTAAGACCTCCACTCGGTTGTACATTCCCATACTAAACTTTCAATCTAGCCTTGCCCCAAATTGCAGCCTAGTCTCAGCTGTGCTGTGGGACAATAAGGAAAGGGCTTGTGCCAGACCTGGGAGGGAGTGGCACAGAGGAAAACAGTAACCTCTGCCCCCATGCCACTGGCAGAATCTGGCTGTGGTGGGCTGGGGAGAAGCAGTGGCCTCTTGAGGGCTAGCAGCAAAGCCAGTTAGCATGGAGGGTCAGCAACATGGTCCTTTCCTGAACACATATATCAAATCCCTGGGGGTATTTGATGGGGGTTAACTTCCCATACAGCCATGCAGAAGGTCAAAGTCATCATAAAGTAGATACTAAATGTGACTTAATTTGGGGGACTTGGACTACTGAGGCTTATATGTATAGATTATAAATTGCTTCTGTTCTTGTTTAATTGCTTGAATTTATTTATCCATTCATTCACACGTACAGAGCACCTACTTTGTTCCAAGAACTTTTCTGGGCACTGGGGATGTAAGAATGAAAAAAAGACAAATCGACACCATCAAAAACTCCCTGCCATCATGGGGGAAATCCCACTGCAAGGTATGTTGAGTGCCTTCTAAAACCTTATTAGGAGTAGAGAGAATTAGCTATATTTTAATTTTAAAGCTATAATTTAAGTTAAATGTGTTTTTGCTAAATGATGAGGAAATGAGATTTGGTCCTCGAAATTGGAGGAATTTATTAGACGTGGTTCATCAGGGAGGTTTAAGGAGCACATCTCTATCACGAAATAACTTTCTGAAAAGAAAAAGGACCCTCTTAAGATTTTTGGCTTTTCTGTATCCCAATCCCAGCAATGGCCCTAGAGATTCCCTGTTGGCTCATAGCCAAAATCAAAATACTATGTTGGCCACTCACATCTGGAAAAACAGAACAATAAAGTCTTTAGAAACAGCCAGCCTTTAGATATTTCCCTTGGAAAGAGCACTAGAATGTAGCTTCTAAATCTTCTAATTGCCATTGCTGATGTAGTCTGTTGTAAAAACACAATAGTGAATAGGCAAGGACCAGAAGATTCCAAATTGTCAAACATCGAAGAGGTGCTCCAAATCATCTCTCTTTAAAAAGTAACGGCTGTCAGAGCCTGTGATCCTAATTCTGAAGACATCTGTGACTAAATAATGCTGGTTATGGAAATTGCTGAAAAGTTATAAATAAAATGTTAACTAACATACAGCTAATTCTCCAGGTGCTGTTTCCATTCTCAAGAATTTACGTGCAGCAAGTGACAGTACACAGCTTTCCTGTGGGTGTAAATCTCTAGGGGCATTGTTCCCTCACATTTGCTTTTGTTCTTTTACTCTACCGGCCTCAATGGCATTATTATCTCCTGCTTTGCTACTTCTCTCCAATCCACATCAGTAGCCCATTCTTATAAATAATTCAGCATCCGCCTGGGCATTTGTTTGCAATATTATCTTACATGATGTTATGTAGGAAGAGGGAGAAATTGCAAAGCATTTTTGAAAGGCCAGTAATGCCTAAATACAGGGGAACAATGTTTTTTTCGGTCTTTCATGTTTGTGGCGGTTCTGCCACATCCACTGCCTCTGAACTTACACTGAACTTTCTCTTCTAGAAAGGCTGGTTTCATAGACTCAAGCCTGCTACAAAATTTGATATAACTGAAACTTGATAAGAGAGTCCAGTCCAATCAAGCGCCCCCACAACACTATCTCCCATACCTATGATTCCTGGCGGGCTTGCATCCATTTGTATGTTCAAATAGGCTTCAAAGGAAGCAAGTCAGATCATCTGTACACACTACAAGGGCAAGCTTTTAATTTTTTTTTTCCCCAAACACAGTTTTGAGATAAGATTGTTAAAATTTCCAGAGCAATTTAGGGCTCAGAGCCAGGTGTTCAAATTTGAGACTTGTAGTTGAAAGCTTGCTGGCTTAATTCCCACAATACATCCTACACATCCCTGAAGCTGCTGGGAAGCTCCCCACAATTGTAATGACACCCAATCTTCCAGCTCCTGAACAGAGTTAAAGAAGAGAAACTCTGGGCCTGGCATGGCGGCTTATACCTGTAATCCCAACATGTTGGGATGCTGAGGAGAGAGGATCGCTTGAGGTCAGGAGTTCAAGATTAGCCTGGTCAATATAATGAGACCCTGCCTCTAAAAAAGAAATTTTAAAAATTAGCTGAGCATATTGGCGTGGGTCTATAGTTCTAGCTATTCAGGAGGCTGAGGCAGGAGGATCCCTTGAGCCTAGGAGTTTGAGGCTATAATGAGCTATGACTGCATTCCAGCCTGGGTGACAGAGTTAGACCCTGTCTCCAAAAAAAAAAAAGATGAGAAACTTTGAAGACAGAATGAATGAAGTCCATTTTGGAGGACTTTTATATCTCTCTTAATTGGAAATGACTAAGAGTATAACTTTTCTAAATTATGAAATCCTACAGGAATTCAGGTCCAATGTTGACTCAGGTCCCTTCTCACATGCTGTTCCCTCTGCTTGGAATGCTGTTCCCTCCTCACCCACTTCACCCCTAACTTCCAATCTAATTTCAATTCACCTTAGGGTCTCAGCTTCCCTGACACCTCAGAAGAGGCTGGGTGCCCCAATGTATGCTCTCCTGGTACTCTCCATCCTTACTTTGTAGCACTATCCCCAGTTTTTTTTTTCTAGTGGTTGATTGACATCTGCTTCCCCCAATACATATAAGGAAGCTGCAGGAGAGCAGAACCATAGCTGGCTTATTCACCACTGGCCAGGTAGGTGCAAGGTAAGTGTTCTATAAAGATTTAAATGGATAAAGCAATGCAGGTAAGTGAACAAAACAGCTAACATTTACATGTTTGTTTACTACATGCCAGGCTCTGTGTGGTTGTTTTACATACAAGAATGAATAAATGAACATCAAAAATGAGTACTGAGAATATTAAAAACATCTGAATGAATAACAGATCTCATCTTAAATAAGTTATGCATGAAGCCTTTTTGTTTACATAGAAGTTAGGGGAAAGTTTCAAAGTTCAGTATCACATGATTTACCTAACTTGCAAACCAGAGAGAATCTGAAGTTTTATAGGTAAACTGCCAAGAGCAAACCTTGGAAAAGACCAATAGGTAAAATATTAATGTGCTCATATCTGCTAACAGTAGCCAGAGAAAAGAGAAGATAAGAGATAAGAAGCCCAAAGAAAATGTGTGTGTATTTTTTTTTTTTTTTGAGACTCATTCTATTTTCCAGGCTAGAGTGCAGTGATATCATAATTCACTGCAACCTCAAACTCCTAGGCTCAAAGGATTTTCCTACCTTAGCCTGCCAAGTAGCTAGGACTACAGGTGTGCACTACCACGTCCAACCAATTTTTAAAAATTTTTTTGTATAGATGAGGTCTTGCTACAACATAGCAGACACCTAGGTAACACCCAGGCTGTTCTTGGACTCCTGGCTTCAAGCAATCCTCCCACCTCACCTAAGGGTACATTTTTACTCAGATTCACAAAAAGCTATGTTACCCACAAAGGGTTAAAAACTACTGCTGTCAATGCTAGTTTGTAAACTGCATTTTTCACTCAATACATCTTGTCACTGTATTATGTCATTAAATACTCTTTTGCAATATCTTTTCAAGTGGCCACTAGAATTTTAATGTATGTAGCGTGCCATTATTTAACTATTCTCTTAATGTTGAACATTTAAGTTGTTTCTATATTTTTGCTACTATCTACTTGTAGCTAAATCTTTGCACACATCCTTAATTATTTACTTTAATATACTGAAGAGATCAAACAATAGGGACCAATATTTGCAATTGTAGGTGAGGAAAACATGGCTTCACACACGATATTTTGCCCAGGTTTGAGATTATAACCTTCCTTTAAATTAAAGAGCACAAAGCTAACAACTTCAAAAAAATCAACATTTAACAACATTTTTATTTACTTGCATTGAGTTGTTTTATTATTTCTTCATCTTTCTTCAAAGCAGCAAAATGTTAGCAATGCTAAATTGAAAGAAATTCCGAAGGTGCCATCTAGGAATGGCAGCACCTTGGTCCTACGATGTATTTTTGACTAAATATTGAAAATACTTGTCAGGGTATTTCTTCTAATTCTAGGGAGTTTTAAAATGTATACAATCAAGTAATAACCTTATAAAACAATCATGGACCTCTCTGCTCTATTTCTAAGAAAAATCTCAAGTTTTCTAGATTAGTAAGAATTTTAAAAGGTCCTGAGTACTTTTGGTTTCTTACCTCCTGAAAGGCAAACCAGGCCATTTGATGGCTTGCCTGGTAACAAGAGGAAAGAGCTTCTAAAATTAGCATGAAGCCAGACCTACTGCAACTTAATAATGAATAGAATCACTGATTCCATAAATAACAGGATTCAGGGTCGATGGGAAGGTCAGATTGGCTGAGAGTCCTAGAGGAGTGAAAGCTTGTCCAGAGTTAATGCTAGAAATAAAAGGTGAGGAACCACGATGTTTCTAAAGGAAATCTCAAGAAAGTCTTATTGTGCAGGATGAATTTCAGTGGTGGCTATTCTTAAAGTGCAACTGCATCTCAGATAATCACAGTAAAAAAAGTATAGCTAATGAACCTTATTGAGCTACTTGGTCTAGGATTACTGTTTGTGACGCCAGGTCTTCTGCCATGTTAGTCATCACCATGAAAAGCTCATTTTAAAAAAGTGATCCCACTCTCAGAAAACACAAATAAATCATTCAAACCCACATATTGTCAGGTGAATTAATTTAACAGATAAGACAAAGCTCTTAAGGCTGCATTTTGACCCCTTATAACAGAGCTCTAACAGTGAAGGGAACTTAAAAAGCGCAGCAGAAAAGAACTTGTCTCAAAAGTGTATCCCATTTTCTTATTATTGATGAAATTTGGTTCCAAGAGGGAATACAGAAAAAGTAAAGAAGTGGTTTTGAAAGTAATCTTTTTTTTTTTTTTTTTTTGCAAGTTCAAGTGTCATTGCTGTTGTTCTCATTCTTGGTGATTTTTCTCCCCCTGGTCCACTACTTCAAGTCACCTTGTGATAGCAAAATGAAAATGTCAAGGTTTGAACAACACCTAGCACAGGCCAGATGCTTTATGAAATGGATGCCACTCAAACTTGAGGAAGCGAAGCATAAAGACCCCTCGGTGCCCTTGTCCTAGAGAGCTGATGAATCCTTCGCCAATTCTTTTCAGTAGTTTTGCTCCTGGCCCACAGGACTGCTCATTCTTCTCAGCACACACTATCTATGCATCTTTCACCATGGTACAGATTCTTTGAAGACCTTCCCTTTGTATTCATAATATAACTAAGTACCTGAAACACTGACTATTAAATATATTAATTAATGCAACTCAAATAATAGAGATTAAGTCATCCCAGGCTTCCATCCACATATGGTAGGTCACCAAAAAAAGGAATGGATGCAAATATTCATATATGCAAAAATACCCATAAACTCTGAAATTACAACAGGATTCTGGGAAGCTGCCTTGCTACTGAAAGATGAATATACAAGAAAATGGGCTCAATAGAGCAAGATAAAGTTTCACTTTTGGAAAGCTGGCTCTCGGCAGGGTGAACTTGATCCTGGATTTGCTCACAGTATGCAGTTTTCTCAGAGACCAAGGAAGATCAGAACTGGGAATCACAGGAAGGCTGTATCTCAACTGATGGATACACTGAAACACATGAAAATTCTATTGTCACGATCATGATCCCACTGTGAGAAGACCCACTGTGTTAGCCAGGTGCCATGTTTGAAATCAAAATTTAAAACTATGCTCCTCTGAGCTAATAGTATAATGTATGTGACCTTTGCACATTCCAACTCAGTAAAACATTATCAGCTTAATAGAGCAGTAAGAGGTCATTCTCAAAACTGGTTGAATTATAACAGGATTTCCTAAAGTCCAAGAAGAAACTATGCTGTTTCACTTCAAACAAAGCAGAGTGGGTAAGGATATTCAGGAGTGAATCTTGGCACACAGAGAAATTAAAGAAACATGTAGGTGGGGATAGATGTATTCTTAGAAGTCAGGTAGAATCACACAGAGTTGCAAAAATGGAAGGAAACGTATAGAATAGTGCATCCCCAGGACAGGAACACCATGCCTCCACCTGCCCCAGGGTTCTACACACTGTAGGCACTCAATAAATGTTAATTGATTAAATTAAATACTCTTCATAGTTCCAACATGTAATCCAGTACCCAATTAGCTAGCTCATGCAAGCCCTCAAGAAAGCAGGTCACTGTAATATAACTGCATTTTCTATTCGGAGAACCAGAGATATGAGCTGGTTAAGTCACATCCTCCGATCAGTCAGAGGCATAGCCAAGACAAGAGGCCAGAGGCACAAACACCCCCCAGCCACCACTAAGTTCAAGTGAGAAGCTCTGGAGGAAGGGCTCTAAGATGGTACAAGGAAGACTCTGAGAAGTGGCGAGGTCTCGTAGACAGGGCATGAGCTCTGGGAGGCAGACTATCCTGACTTTGAATCCAATTCTATTACCAGCTGTGACCTGCAACAACTCACTTAACCTCTCCAAGACTCAGTTTCCTCCTCTATAAAATGAAAAGGAATGATGGTCTTGTACAGTCAACTCAGAAAGTAAAGGTGTGATATAAGTCCCTAGCATAATGACTTGTCCACAATGGGCACTCAGGGACAAACCAACAAACAAAATGCTAGTTACAATAAGGATTCCACTAAGAACAGCAGAGCATCAGTCAGAGGTCTTGTGAGGGTTTCCACCCATTTGATGAAAGGAAATATAAAATAATTAATAAACACATGGGCCGGTCATTCAATCTGCATATCACAAGGATAATTTTTTCAGTATGAGCAAAATGCTGTCCAGTAGCTCACAAGCAGATGTCACCCTGGAGCAATGCCCTGCACAGAGAGCAGGCTGGCCTTTTACTGTCTGTTCTCTCCCCCTCTCCATTTAATGTCTGATGTTCAACAAATATACCACATACTGCATGATGGCATATCACATACCAAGCAAACTGCATTTTTACAACAGACTTCCCAGACTGAGGGCAGATGTGGTGTGCTCTTAAATTTACCTGAAGTTTTAAGAAAGAGTTAAGTTACTTAATGCTATATCCAATGGCATGATTTGCAACAGAGCTGGCTACTAAAAATGCATTTGGGGATTCTCACCTTCCAATCAAAAGCTACATTAAACCAGCACAGTGAGCCACATTGGAATTTTGAGAATATAATAGTTGACAATATCTATATCGCCATATCAAAGGAAAACCATCTCTTTTTCACAGAGAACTGATTTCAAAGGGAATTACACTTCTGAATGAGAGATCCTCCAGCAATCTAGACCTATGAGTTTCTGAGACTATAGATGTTGAATAGTATCAGTGTTCTAAGAACCTCAGTAGTCTTCTGATATCCTTAAAGTATAAAACAATTACCTCTCTTGGTACATCACAGCTGTCCAAATACCATTTAAAGACCTATGGTTACATGGTGACCATTTAGACAATTTAAGAATTACTTCCAAAGAGTAATCACATGAAGAAAAAAACAAAATATAGGCTAGTGAAGACAAGTAATTCCTATAGCAAGTTAAAAATCCTTGCAATTTTCTCACTCTTTTAGGTTTGTCTAAGTCAGAAGACTTCAGGTTGAGGAAAGCCAGGTATATTTTAAAAGCCAGGGTAAGCTTTTAAATTAAATTTACCAATTTACGGTTTCCTTTAACATGATCAAAGCTAAACTTTCACAGGGAAGTTTTCTCAATAACAAAGCTAAGCAATTCCACCTGCAAAGACATTTTCAGGTCTATTCAACAGCTTTGATTGCACAATACCCTGTTTTCTTCAAAATTAAATTTCACATTTGTAAATGTTGATCAACAGACTAGTCCTGCATTCCCAGATTTCATGCTCAATCCTGAATAGCCTAGGGGGACTCTGTAAAATTGTAAAGTTTATAAAGCC